AACTGTAAATTCTACAGATGCAATACAGATAACGACAAAGACACAAACGACATTCGTTTGTGTCAAATACCGACAAGAGATATACAAAGCGTACTGAATACAGTGAGTACAGTTCTAGTCCAACTACACGTAACAGGAATTGTGATCACCATCAATGATTACACCGACGTTTAAAATGAAATTTTAATGTCAGTATCCGTGTCTTTATTATGCTGGTATCAATCAACATTTTTACTGATTATGCTCATTTTATAGTCCTCTGTAAATATAGCATGGCTAATTTCGTCCCTTTGTAATAAAATGATCCTAATGTAGTAATAGTCTGATATCACAAACTAGGAATGATTGAGCGGACAAGTAGAAAGAATCAATCAATCAATCAATCAATCAATCAATCAATGCTAGGTGTCATCAGTGGAGAGAGCGAAAGTGAGCATAGCCTTTGGAGTGGAGCACCAGAGCGCAGAGAGCGAAAGTGATCGTAACCCCTGGAGTGGAGCACCAGAGTGCAGAGAGCGAAAGTGATCGTAACCCCTGGAGTGGAGCACCAGAGTGCAGAGAGCGAAAGTGATCATAGCCTCTGGAGTGGAGCACCAGAGTGCAGAGAGCGAAAGTGATCGTAACCCCTGGAGTGGAGCACCAGAGTGCAGAGAGCGAAAGTGATCATAGCCTCTGGAGTGGAGCACCAGAGTGCAGAGAGCGAAAGTGATCGTAACCCCTGGAGTGGAGCACCAGAGTGCAGAGAGCGAAAGTGATCGTAACCCCTGGAGTGGAGCACCAGAGTGCAGAGAGCGAAAGTGATCATAGCCTCTGGAGTGGAGCACCAGAGTGCAGAGAGCGAAAGTGATCATAGCCTCTGGAGTGGAGCACCGGAGTGCAGAGAGCGAAAGTGATCGTAACCCCTGGAGTGGAGCACCAGAGTGCAGAGAGCGAAAGTGATCGTAACCCCTGGAGTGGAGCACCAGAGTGCAGAGAGCGAAAGTGATCATAGCCTCTGGAGTGGAGCACCAGAGTGCAGAGAGCGAAAGTGATCGTAACCCCTGGAGTGGAGCACCAGAGTGCAGAGAGCGAAAGTGATCATAGCCTCTGGAGTGGAGCACCAGAGTGCAGAGAGCGAAAGTGATCGTAACCCCTGGAGTGGAGCACCAGAGTGCAGAGAGCGATAGTGATCGTAACCCCTGGAGTGGAGCACCAGAGTGCAGAGAGCGAAAGTGATCGTAACCCCTGGAGTGGAGCACCAGAGTGCAGAGAGCGAAAGTGATCATAGCCTCTGGAGTGGAGCACCAGAGTGCAGAGAGCGAAAGTGATCATAGCCTCTGGAGTGGAGCACCAGAGTGCAGAGAGCGAAAGTGATCGTAACCCCTGGAGTGGAGCACCAGAGTGCAGAGAGCGAAAGTGATCGTAAACCCTGGAGTGGAGCACCAGAGTGCAGAGAGCGAAAGTGATCGTAACCCCTGGAGTGGAGCACCAGAGTGCAGAGAGCGAAAGTGATCGTAAACCCTGGAGTGGAGCACCAGAGTGCAGAGAGCGAAAGTGATCATAGCCTCTGGAGTGGAGCACCAGAGTGCAGAGAGCGATAGTGATCGTAACCCCTGGAGTGGAGCACCAGAGTGCAGAGAGCGAAAGTGATCGTAACCCCTGGAGTGGAGCACCAGAGTGCAGAGAGCGAAAGTGATCGTAACCCCTGGAGTGGAGCACCAGAGTGCAGAGAGCGAAAGTGATCGTAACCCCTGGAGTGGAGCACCAGAGTGCAGAGAGCGAAAGTGATCATAGCCTCTGGAGTGGAGCACCAGAGTGCAGAGAGCGAAAGTGATCGTAACCCCTGGAGTGGAGCACCAGAGTGCAGAGAGCGAAAGTGATCATAGCCTCTGGAGTGGAGCACCAGAGTGCAGAGAGCGAAAGTGATCGTAACCCCTGGAGTGGAGCACCAGAGTGCAGAGAGCGATAGTGATCGTAACCCCTGGAGTGGAGCACCAGAGTGCAGAGAGCGAAAGTGATCGTAACCCCTGGAGTGGAGCACCAGAGTGCAGAGAGCGATAGTGATCGTAACCCCTGGAGTGGAGCACCAGAGTGCAGAGAGCGAAAGTGATCGTAAACCCTGGAGTGGAGCACCAGAGTGCAGAGAGCGAAAGTGATCGTAACCCCTGGAGTGGAGCACCAGAGTGCAGAGAGCGAAAGTGATCGTAAACCCTGGAGTGGAGCACCAGAGTGCAGAGAGCGAAAGTGATCATAGCCTCTGGAGTGGAGCACCAGAGTGCAGAGAGCGATAGTGATCGTAACCCCTGGAGTGGAGCACCAGAGTGCAGAGAGCGAAAGTGATCGTAACCCCTGGAGTGGAGCACCAGAGTGCAGAGAGCGAAAGTGATCGTAACCCCTGGAGTGGAGCACCAGAGTGCAGAGAGCGAAAGTGATCGTAACCCCTGGAGTGGAGCACCAGAGTGCAGAGAGCGAAAGTGATCGTAACCCCTGGAGTGGAGCACCAGAGTGCAGAGAGCGAAAGTGATCGTAACCCCTGGAGTGGAGCACCAGAGTGCAGAGAGCGAAAGTGATCGTAACCCCTGGAGTGGAGCACCAGAGTGCAGAGAGCGAAAGTGATCATAGCCTCTGGAGTGGAGCACCAGAGTGCAGAGAGCGAAAGTGATCGTAACCCCTGGAGTGGAGCACCAGAGTGCAGAGAGCGAAAGTGATCGTAACCCCTGGAGTGGAGCACCAGAGTGCAGAGAGCGAAAGTGATCGTAACCCCTTGAGTGGAGCATCAGAGTGCAGAGAGCGAAAGTGATCGTAACCCCTGGAGTGGAGCACCGGAGTGAAGAGAACGAAAGTGATCGTAACCTCTGGAATATCGAGGATACGGAGAGAATCATGTTAACGGAAAAATAATATAGAAACATTATATCTAAATTCATGTTATATCGAAACGAAATTTGAAACAAGATGTGTGCGAATGTGGTTGTGCGTGTCTATTTATAAGGATTTATTAGGAAAATTAATGGTCGCAGGCTGAAAGCCTTTATATCCATACCAACAATATATATACAGTGTTACAGATATATATCGTAAACGAATGCTTTTTGACAAAAAATAGAACTGGGGAAATTATAGAAAATAAAGGAATGTATATACCAAAATTAAAAAACAATCAGTGAGATGAGAAAGGTGTGATGGTGGTTAACACATGTGTGATGGTGGTCAACACATGTGTGATGGTGGTCAACATCATGTGTGATGGTGGTCAACACATGTGTGATGGTGGTCAACATCATGTGTGATGGTGGGTCAACATCATGTGTGATGGTGGTCAACATCATGTGTGATGGTGTGATGGTGGTCAACATCATGTGTGAAGGTGGTCAACATGTGTGATGGTGGTCAACATCATGTAATTTCTGGCTCACTATCAAACATTTCCTTTCAGAAAAATGTAATACATTGTACTTCAGACTCAAACATCAAACTGAAGGAATATAAAACCATTATTTGAGACCTATTAGAGGTATGCCATGTTTTTAATAATTTTTTATGTAAATGTGACTGGCGATATAGGGAATGATGAAGATACAGTAAATGACGACATCATCTCTAAAATCAAAAGCCAATTGCGTATACAAAAAATGTTTTAAGCCTGTTTTCCGTAATGATGTATGTAAAAACATTAATTAAATTAGTTATAAGAAGGCAACAGGTTTTGATAGCATATCGTTCAAACATTTGAAGGCCTGTAGGGGTAGTATCAGTTATCCTCTAAGTAATGTGATACATTTGAGTCTTAATGCAAATACCTTCCCTAGTCAAATTGTCCCATTTGTACTTGCTCTCTCTGTGCAAAGATGGATTGATTAACCTCTTTTGGCTGTTATAAGTTATAATTGTCTTTTTCATGCCAATTAGTCTGGTCATGGAATGTGGTAGGTATCGACTGACCCAACCACCTGTTTTTTGAGCTTCAGTGATATTGTTGTTTTACCAGGATGTGTTTTTGCTATTGAACCTCTCTTGCTTTATACATCTTAACACTAGTTTTTTAAAAAGATTTTTTTTACTCAACATTAATTTGACTACCAAAATAAGTTCTTGACCATTTCTAAATTATTTAGTTTTGTGATTATAATTTAATTTTGTAATTTCATTAAGTTATAGTATTTTCTTTCGTTGTGCTGTGTACCACTAACTCACTGTGACAACGTTTATGTTGATATCATGACTATTACATTATGCATGCAGTGTTGAATTTTACTTCAATATTCCTTGTGTTATTTTGTTCTTAGTGTTTATTTTTATATGTTTGTCGTAATAATAGCTCTTCTGAACGAATGTTAAATGTTTTATTGCATACGACAGAAATTAAAATTTCTTGTAACACTTGTCATTTGTCTGATGATGACCGAGAAGTAATCTAAACGTCACACTCTAATCTTCTACTGATTGTGTTATAAGAACTTCTATTCTATTGACATTACCAACCCGAAGAAACTGTTCCAAAACAGGTAAACGTTTAATGCATCAATATGTTGCGGTAAATTGTTCCATGTACTGTGCTGTGATTAAAGAAATTCTTATATCCAGGTTACGGTTTTTAAAAATATTTTCTGAATGACCCCTCGCGATTGTTCGACTTGAGGTGTCCATTTGGTAGAAAGTTTGAACTTGCCTTTCTGTCCAATGTAAACGTGTTAGTGACTTAGTGATGAATATTGTAATATCATACGCTTTTGTAATGTAAAGCCTACCAATATCGGAAAAAAGTGAAGGAAAAAAATGAGATGTTTAGTGAAAGTTTCCACGGAAATAACCACCATTCATAGCTTCACCGTGCTAACATAAAATCACGCAATACGAAAACGGAACAGGAAGTTCGCATTTTAGCGCGAAATTCGTCTAGCTCTCACGAAAACCACGTGCAAAGATCAGTGTGATAGGAGAGCTTGCCACGCACCCGTCACTCCTCCATTTCCACCGAGCTCCAGCGGACGATTGCTGAGATCCTCAGTCGGCTGCACCGCGTCAACATCTTTCTGCTTTATTCTTCAACATGAACGACGTTTCAAGAGAATATTTCTGGGGTTTGTAAGATTGAAGAAGTGTTTAAGATGATGGCGTCAGCTGCACAGAATATATTTCTGGCATACAGTTTCAGTTGGTCGGAAGGATTGTGACTAGTCTTATTAGTGATTGTCAAGACCGGACTAGACTGTATATTGTTGTTCTCGTCAAGTTTAAAAACACCTCAAATATTGTAACGCTACCCAAGATGCAGAATTTTCACTTGAATTAGATATTTCATCAAGGCTTGAGATATAGCATAGATAATTTAAGAAAAGTATTGACTAATAGGAACATAGACCATAAACCTTTACTAGAGTTTGAACTTTAAACAACAATATTAGCAAATATGATATGCAAATTTTTTTAGTACATGAACTGGAAATGTGTGTGTAACCCTGGTAAAATACTAGCTGCAATATGCTGCTTTGCTAGGGAGGACTTATCTTTAGCTCAATCGGTCTCTGGTTCGAATTCAAGTGCAGGCATCGAAATAATGACCACTGTTACATTGGTGCCTATGTAAGGATGCAAGAATAACACTTGCCCATGCCCCATCAGCATCATCATAACCCCACAGAAATACAAGGAAAAGTTATTTCTTGGAGGGGAGTATGTAACCTGGTAAAATACTGGACGCAATGTGTATAGATCGGTTGAGAGTCGGAATAGTAAGCCACAGGTCCTGGGTTTGAACCATTGCGGAGGCATTGAAATAAAAATGACATCTGTTGCATGTGCATCACTTCTGTGAAAATTTGTCACATCTAAAAAGGTGACAGAAATTGTATGAAAAACTTCAATTTTCCAAAAATTTTAAGCATGTTTTAGATAATAATGTTCAGCAATTCCTACTTGTTCAAAAGTATCATTTGTTGGGTTGACCATAATTTTGATACGCTTTTTGATGAATTAGTAAACCGGTAGAGAAAAACTACAAATGTACATATACTACGTAGACCAATCAAGTCACAAGATATCGTACAATTGCAAACATTGATAATTTGTTTGTGGGAAATTACAGTGCTTCTGGACCTTATGGTCTTGGTTGCATAAAGTTTCTGAGCCAGAACTTTCAGTAGACATCTGTTGGTAAACAATATTTGCCTTGTCATAATTAATGCGACTTTTAATTATATACTGATTTTGTCTATCTTTAGTAACAAATCCATACCTAATTGGCATGTGGTATACCCATTTGCCTAATATATGCAAATTTGTGATGGGGGCAGGTTGGGCAATGTCCATTAGGGAAAGGGGACATTTAGATTCTTTTAAATGCTTCTTCTGTATCAATTGCAGGACTTTTCCCGTATTTTGTTTAAAGCATCCTTAAACGAAGTAGACTTTTAGAAAGAGCATGGGAAAAGAGGGCAGGCCCAATGGGAAAATCAATGTTTATCATCAGAATCTGTTTCAGTTTTCAAAAAGCGAAGCCTAGTGAGTGATACAATTGGATTGTATATGCCATTAAAAAGAAATAAAATGTATGATTTAGGAATGTTGAAATATTCTATTAAAAATATGGTGATCTTCGCATCTTTTTGTATGCAAGAACATGAAACTAGAAATTTGGTTGCACGAATAAACTTGAAAGTTCACTTTTTGATGTTGAATTGGAAGAAAATTAAGATTTAAATAAAATGTACAATTGTATATATTTCATCACTATACATTCTGTAATATGACTTCCCATTAACGTTGATAATCTGGATTGTATTCATAGGCGCATAGGACCTCGTGTTGGCAGCATGTTAGCAAGTTGTACCTTTGCATGCTGTTTTGGATAACATTGCATTACATAGTCTCATTTTCATTTCCCACCGATGTTTAATAACATGCACGTTGTCAACATATATCCCTTATTCCAGGTTGTGTGCTCAACAAAGAAAATCCTAAAGTAACGTGGACGTTTGAAGAGGAAGAGGAGGATACAGATTTTCTTATTCACACACTATTTTTGAAACAGGTAATGTTTGTGTGGGTTTAAAGAGTACCTTTATATCTAGAAGAAAATCAAAGGTTGGAAAATGTCTGAAACCACTAAGTGTTGAGGCACATTTGAAGGTTAATCATCAAATTAGAACAAGCTGTGGTGGAAAGCATTCAGCTTTATATGGTAAAATCTGTGGACTGGGACAATTAAACCCCAGGTAAACCCCAAATACCATATATCATTACTACAATGTAATTCTCAAATGATGTCGAGACTTTCTTGGCTGTTTTAGGAATTGCCACTTGGACCTGAAGCGGCAAAATTTTTACATCCTTTTCCATAAAATTTGGTTTCTTTTTCATTTAAGTTTGATATAATTCTTTAATTCATGTAATGCATATACTAGAAAGATCAAACCAAATAAAATGAGTACTTGCAGCAAACTGTTAAAAAAAAACACATGATTGTAACTAAGACTTTGTTAATACTTGTTACAACACCCTATGCAGACTGTCCAGCATCCCTAAAATTCCTAAAAAATCCTAATTTTTTTCAATTTTGCTAAAATTCCTTAAAAAAATGAAAAATTCAAAGGGAATTCCTAAAAAAAAAAACCTAATTTTTCACTTCAGTACCTACTTTTTTTTATATTTATTACAATTTACTGAAAAAGTTTTCATTAAATTCATACTTAAAATGTATTTTAATGTAGTCTGTAGTTCTAATTCAGGGTAGACAATGAAAGGCAATTGACCAGTGGATCTATGTACCCAGATTGTTATTGGTTGTGACTGAGTGACAGAGGTGTGATTATTAAGGTCACAGCCAACAGCAGCTGGGACACAAACCCTGGAAGACACCTTTCCTGCAATTAAGGCAATGTATGTTAGTTTCTCTTTTGTCAAATTTGCAAAGGCAAGTCAATTTAATGCTTTTATACTTCCTATTCTACTTACAAAATTCCTAATTTTAGCCCTAAATTTGCCCTAAAATTTTGTAATTTTAGCCCTAAATTTAGACCTAATTTTTTGTCAGGAAGTGCTGGACAGCCTGCCTATGTGAACCTTCATCACATTATTTCATATTGTCATATGAGAACTTGACTAATGATAATTAGGCAAATCAATGTTGGTCATTGAAAGTCAGAATACTTAATGTTTTGTGGGACGCCATTTTGGACAAACCTCACTTTTTGACAGTCTTGAGGACGCTTTAATTACAGCAGTTTTATGCATGAAAATGAAGCTTATAGGTGATAGTGAAGTGATCAGTAATAAAGGAATTGGAAGCAGATAAAGCACAGGAAAATAATTGTGCTGGTCACTTTGGGAGGAAAACCTCTTTCATTTGGGAAAAAAATGAGCCTTTTTTTATTGGGAATGCCACCGATATTTATATTCACAGGAATGTCCATGGATATACTGATGTCTTTCAATGCTTGGAACAGAATCTTTTCATCATTCATTCAACACAAACATCAAAATTCCAAAATTTTTTCTCTTAAAAGAAATCTTTTGATTTAACCTCTGGGAAGGATAATTAACCACCACAGCAAACTTGATACCAAATATCAGTACTCTAGTACAATAAAAAAATGTACTGATATTCTCACATTTCATCGAAATCTGAACTTTTGAATACTTATGCCAATGCCGAATTGTCCCCCTTTGAAGAGGTGAACTAGAACTTTTTTTCCAGTTTCATAAAAATGAAGTTGCATTTAAAATCAAATTTTTTAAATTGAATTGAATTGTTGGATATTTGATATATCATTTTAGAAAGTGTATGGTTATACAAGAGAAACTTGAACTGGTTAAATAGCGCCGATTTGATAGTGCCATTGCTACAATTTACTGTGGCTTTGAAATAGTATAAGGGAGATAACTACAATGAAAAAATTGTCAATGAAGTAGATCATTGGTAGTACCATCTCTACAATTTACTGTAGATGTTGCTTTGAGAAAGTGAAGGAGCGATAACTATAATAAAAAGGTTGTTGATGAAGTAGATCATTGGTAGTACCATCACTACAATTTACTGTAGATGTTGCTTTGAGAAAGTAAAGGAGCGATAACTATAATAAAAAGGTTGTTAATGAAGTAGATCATTGGTAGTACCATCACTACAATTTACTGTAGATGTTGCTTAATGATAGTGTAGGGGAGATAACTATACAATAACAATGTTTTGTACTACAAATGACCAGTACGTGATGAAGGCAGAGACTTATACACTTGAATCAATGCAATGCTATTGGGGAATTTGTAGTACAGTATTAAATTTTTAAATATTGTTTATACTTGGAAAAGACAAAACAAAAAATACCGATTAATGTTACTACTTTCAGCGATTGGTCAAGTCTATACCATTGCATCATAGACCCCTTGATTGGTCAAATGGTTCAAGTTTAAAGCTAAGCTGACAAGGTGCAATAAGGTTGTCGATTTTAATGTGGTTATACCAACTGCTAACTGCTTCAATTTATAGGATGTCTGAATGTGGCAGTCACATCAGTGGATTAATCCAGCAAAAAAGTGTTTTTTCCTACTAAATGTAGATAACCAGCATTCCCATTAATGTATTGCTCTACAGGTTTTGAGAAGAGAAATTGTCAAACCCATAGAAAAACATTTTGAGAGACTTAAAATCTTTTCCAATACAAATGTTTGTTTACAGTTCTTTTCTCATTTTCTACTGCAATATGAAACAGAAATGGACTTTGCTGAAAAGCATAGAGGCATATTTCTCAGTCACTGGGTAAGACTTCACCGAGGGAGTCGGTGATAAGGCTGAGTCTATTCAAATAAAAGAGAGAAATTGAAGGAAACAAAACAAGACTACAGCAAGATCCAAAACCAGGAAGTGCTGCTGAAATTATTCAAGGACAAGGACAATAGAAATGTATTGTATGTGAAAAAGGGTGTGGCTATCTAAAGGTGTTTACTAATGAAGTGTTGGTAAAAGGATGTGTGAATTATTATTAAAGTACCGTATAAGTTAGGTGAAAATGCTAATGTTGGATTCCCACAATCCTTGATCTAACTACCGGTATTAGTACTGATTGAGTCTTCCTAAAAGATGACGCTAAGTTGATCAACATCAATTGACAAGCAACTGTTTAAAGTCGAGGTCAGATTTTTAAATTCTTTTTCATGAGTGTAAAGAAAGAAAGAAAAAATCGTCACAATAAAATTAATGCTAGGTCCAAGGTCATAGGTCAAAGGTCCAGAACAACTTTTCTATTTCCTACTTGGTCAATATTTCTGACTACAGATACACAATTTGTCTCGATGTACTGAACAGACATTGAAGATCTGAATAAAATTGGCTGTAAAATAGCTACGTTGCTTTTGTAAATTTGTCAAGCTTTGGAATGCCTTAATACAGTTTGTAGTTTGATTAAATTTTTTCAAATTTTTCAGGCAGTACTTGGACAAGCAGCGGTGCAGGATGAAAGAAATATAGTATCTGTACAGACAAAAAACTTTGACAACGAACAAATCAAACATCCTGTAGTTTCTTTAACACTGGGCAGAAATGATATGGTAAGTTCAGGCTTTGAATCAGATAAAGATGAAGAATTCTTTAGAAAAAATTTAATTTAGCTAGGAAGAACTAGAACTTTTGGAATAAGCAAGAAACCTGTTTAGTTACAAAATCTTTCACATTCAGTTTCTTGAATTTCTTCATGTGCTAATTTATGCTCAGCATTGTAATTGCCTAATTTGATAAGCAGTACAATTCAGCATTCCAGATTGTATTTCATTATAATAAATTCTTACTGCAGCACATCATGCTGTTGAAATACATATATATCACAAAGCATTTTATCTGCATTCTGCGATACTGAAAAACATGTATTTTGTGTAAAAATTGTCATACTAACAAAGCAGGACAGGAAAGACAATTACAGTTCATGTTTTTGTTGAAAATGTTGACATGTCGCTGCCAGGTACTGATGAAATCTATTTCTGAAATCAATTTTGTATTTTCTGCAAGTCTATATTTTTCTTAATAAAAAAATGTAGCGAAAAATGTTCACACTCTTTTCATCCTGGGTGAATTTTTCAAAAGTTGGCAAGAATGTATGCAACTGGAGCTATAATTGCTGTAATTGGCCCCTAGGACACCTACACTATTGGTGACATGGGGATACTGCACTAATTAGTTTAGACAAAACATTCAATTGTGGATGAAAAAAGGATTGTATGGCCAAGGGTCTCCACTATCCCTCACTAGATAGCTAGTAATATGGCTGAATTATACAATATTTCGAAATTCACAACATATTTTCTTTTTCCAAATTTTGACTCAACAGCTTGATCTTGGTTAATTGTTTCATTTGAGATTAGTCTTAGACACGTTTTAAAGTTTCAATTGTACACATAGTAAAAGGAGTAAAAACATTACATGTTAACGACATCTGCTTAAATGAATCTTTTAAAAGATTTGTGAAATTTGACTAAAAGCCTATTTTTTCCAACTGGGTGCCATCTTTTTTTATACTTGAAATGAGGCAGGTAAATGTGGGTTGTGATGTGTTTGTATTATATATCGGTGTGGTGGAAATCCCCGATAGTGATGTTCCGATCAGTCAAAACTCATTATTAACTCAAAAGTAGTCAATAGTCGTGGTTTTGTTTTTATTATGATATACATAGCCATTGGAAACAAAATTAGGCTATTTAGGTCACGGATTTACTGACACGCATTCCAATTTCTAGTTTCCTCAAGACAAGAATAACGGTACACAATTTTACCAATTTATTCAAGTTATACGAAGCTTTATGATGATAATGTATGACAACACAAAATAACATCACAACACTTCCGTTCAAGTAACTGTAAACAGATGGAAGTTTCAAAACTCGAAATATAAGTGCACAAATAACACATCAGTAAAGAAAATCATTGCATTTGAAATAATCAAAGGTTAGTCATTCACTTCATGTAACCAAGCAGTTTTTCCTTAATCAGATATAAGCGATTTAAAAAATCAGTTCCCATTGAATTTGTTAAAAGACAAAATTAGCTAATTATGCACCTAAGAAGAAACTCGTTCAAAGTGTAGTGTTATGTGTAATATGACATAACCTATGAGTGGTTGGTCCTCTGTTTTCATACAAACTTTGGGTGGTTCATTTTGTGAATTTGACAAAGAAAAAAAAAAAAAAAACAGATTTAACAAATTATGATGTCTGCAATACCCATGATTTACGAAATGCACAAATGATTTCCAGTAGTACCTAGCCGTGGTGTCTAGCTGAACTGAACAGCTGTGGTGTCTAGCTGAACTGAACAGCTGTGGTGTCTTGCTGAACTGAACAGCTGTGGTGTCTAGCTGAACTGAACAGCTGTGGTGTCTAGCTGAACTGAACAGCTGTGGTGTCTTGCTGAACTGAACAGCTGTGGTGTCTAGCTGAACTGAACAGCTGTGGTGTCTAGCTGAACTGAATAGCCATGGTTTCCACTAGGTTAAAAAAGTACAAGATCTGTTATTCCCACTAATCCTGCTTAAGATGATTATAAAACTTCCACAGGAAGGAGATGAGTGCTTATTAAAACAAATATTGTAAATCTCGGCCCTATAACATAATTGGTATTGCTGAAATTTGACTCGTATTTTGGACTACAAACATGCAATTTTTACTATAACTATAACATCCAGTTTTGCTAAGAAGCAGGAACATGTGGGACAGAGATACATGGAAATTTTCAGAATACACGATTTCCCAACCATGAACAAAACATGACTCTGCTGCTGTCCCCATTAGCTCTGAGAAATATAAAAGATGGACACAATCTTGCAACCCGTTTTCCAGGTCCAGGAATGCAAGGTGATAAACCTTGTTTAAAATGTTTTCCTATTTTATTTCAGTGGAATTTAGATTTAAGTTTTGGACATGAAAATCCAGTTGTATTTGAACTAGTTGAAGGCACTGGTCCAGTTCATCTGACAGCTCAACAATTAGTAGGTGGGTAATCTGATATAGGAACAATATAAACATGAATGTACAATGTGACTGCTGTAAGCTAGAAAAGACAAGTAAAAAAAGTGAAAGCTGAAGATTTAGGCAATTACAAGGTTACGGCTGGATATACTACAAGTAGTTACTGGCGATGCCAGTCCTTGAGAGATATTGGATACATCTTTCTCAAATTTTAAAGATAGATTTCTCTTGGCCCCTAGTTGTCTCTTTTGAGTTTAGACCAATAAGAAAGGTGACTTAGATTTTGAAGTTAAAGATTATTATTATTATTTTTGAAGAATTTTCACATTTCATAGTTTTAAGAAAAACAGATCAGAAGAGAAGGGAAAAGATCAGCATTAAAAAAAAATTAAAAAAACAATGGTGGGCACCAAGATCTCTCTCGAATCACTCGTTAGTTGATGCATGTGTATGTTAGCTAGTTCCATTTTACATTTATTGAAATCAGAAGTATTTTGTTTTGGGGCTTGAAATTATTAAAGTTCTTGATGATCTTGTCACATGTCAAAATTTGATAGGACATACATCACTGTTAAAATATAGCTGAAAAAATATTCAAAATGAAGTGTTAGGACCTTTGTACATAACTATGGATGATTTGCAATAGAAATGCCAGATGAAGGGAACTTGAGTCAGGATGAATCATGTACGGAGACTGAGGAAGACGAAGAACTGGTGGAGGAGGAGGAGGAACCAATGAAGACAAAAAAGAGAAAAGCTTCGTCGACCAAAGCACCAGTAAAATCCAAGGTAAGAATTTCTATAGTTTCACTACTATTCCTAGTGTTGAAATCGGGCTTAATTCTAATTCACTAACAATAAGACTGAAACCTGCCATTTACTTTCACCTTTGTGATAAAAGTTTACTGGGAACTGTGGTGAGGGAGAACCTTCAAGATAATTATATTCAATGTTGAAATGGCAGGTTTGCATCAAATTATTTCCTGTTTTTGGCAGTTGGCAGGTTTTGTACGCTATTTTGCAAGAGGCTTCCTATGTGGAAATTGGGAAATGCTACCAGTTATTTGACAACACGGTAACAATTTCAAATATTTAAACAATTGCAGCTCATGAAAACTAATGATATATAGGTCTATCAAAAATTTTGTCAGATTTTTTTAATGACTAGAATATAAAATAACTTTCCATAAATTTTTAAAATGAGGGAGGGAAGGGGAAGACATGAAAAGGACAAAATATTGAAAACTTCAGGTTTAACTTCCATTTTGAAACAAAATGATTGGTCTTCTTATAGCTAGACTATAGGAATACTTTGCATGAGTTGAACCAGCAGCCATTGGAAAGAGAAAATCATTGGATCTCTTCAAATATATTTAGTTTTAGGTGTAAAGTCCTTTGTTTGTCATCCAGGATGTTAATCTATGATCTCAATTTTATAAGGTGAATTTCTAATAGTTCAGTCATACAATGCATTGTCAACAAGGACAAATAACTGGCTAAAGCCTGACCAACATTTCACCATGTATAGAACCTTTATACTGAATATTACAGTTAGAAATCGCCCTATTAACCATGCACTAGTGAACAAGTTTTGCACCTGCACTAAACCAAAGAAGAGAGGTTTGCACATCATTGGCACATGACTAACATGACATCCTTTTTTTACAGAGAGGAAAGGTTTGTACACATTTTGTTTTGGGATATACCACACTCATTCCTGCAATAAATTTGCCCTGTGGATAAATGTCTTGTGCAAAAATTGGGTCTGTAATTTTTCATATGCCCTTTAAAAATTTACAGGGTGCATTATGGTATGTCGTCTGTCATTTTGTCTTTATTTTCTTTCATCTGTGATCTGTCCCTTGATCCTTGAAGAATCCTTGTTATTGCCATTTCTTGAAACACCATATGAATCTAAAATTCCATGGGCTCCAGTTGGTCTTGCATGGTCTTTTTCAATTTTGATATTAATCACAAAAGCAATGGTTGACAGGTGGCCATCTTTAACTTAATTAAAATGAAATCTGTTTATTTTCAATGGGGTTACATCTAGCGATAGGTATTCTATCTAGGCCAATTCAACAAGTCACATTGGTTAAAGTTATATGGCAGAAGTCAGACATATTTTTATGGTTGTAGATATTAGAAAATTAAAATCGGGCCCCTTCATTAGTTGATAAATTGGGCTGCACCCATGGTGCAATTAAAACTTGTTCAACTTATCTGCAAATAAAAATGTAAAATAATTGAAATCACAATCCTAAATTTTATTATATGTATACATATTGTTTTACTAATAATTAGCAGTTGGTTTCACCTCTGTACCGGTAGACATGGTTCCTAGATCCTGAAATGAAAATGATTGATTCCTGCCCAATAACTACATACCTAACTAGTACTTACTAGCCTATAGGGCACAAAGAATTCTGGCATACAGAGCACAAAGGATACTGGCCTACAGGGCAGAAAGAATGCTGGCCTACGGGGCACAAAGAATACTAACCTACAGGGCACAAAGAATACTGGCCCACAGGGCACAGAATACTAGCCTACAGGGCACAAAGAATACTAGTCTACAGGGCACAAAGAATACTGGCCTACAGGGCACAAAGAATGCTGGCCTACGGGGCACAAAGAATACTAGCCTACAGGGTACAAAGAATACTGGCCTACGGGGCACAAAGAATACTAACCTACAGGGCACAAAGAATACTGGCCCACAGGGCACAGAATACTAGCCTACAGGGCACAAAGAATACTAGTCTACAGGGCACAAAGAATACTGGCCTACAGGGCACAAAGAATGCTGGCCTATGGGGCACAAAGAATACTAGCCTACAGGGTACAAAGAATACTGGCCTACAGGGCAGAAAGAATGCTAGCCTACAGGGCACAAAGAATACTAGTCTACGGGGCACAAAGAATACTAGCCTACAGGGCACAAAGAATACTAGCCTACAGGGCACAAAGAATACTAGTCTACAGGGCACAGAATACTAGCCTACAGGGCACAAAGAATACTAGTCTACAGGACACAAAGGATACTAGCCTACAGGGTACAAAGAATACTAGCCTACAGGGCACAAAGAATACTAGCCTACAGGGCACAAAGGATACTGGCCTATAGGGCACATAGAACAATAGCCTACAGGGCACAAAGAATACTAGCCTACAGGGCACAAAGAATACTAGCCTACAGGGCACAAAGGATACTGGCCTATAGGGCACATAGAACAATAGCCTGCAGGGCACATAGATCACTAGCCTACAGGGCACAAAGAATACTAGCCTACAAGGCACAAAGAATACTAGTCTACAGGGCACAAAGAATACTAGCCTACAGGGCACAAAGAATACTAGCCTACAGGGCACAAAGAATACTAGCCTACAGGGCACAAAGGATACTGGCCTATAGGGCACAAAGGATACTAGTCTACAGGGCACAAAGAATACTGGCCTATAGGGCACAAAGAAACAACCACTGTTCTGCTACCAAGATTACTTCCAGGGTCCAACTTAACTCCTGGAGACCTTAGCAGTTGGTGAAAAAAAATTCAAAAGGTTGAAACTCCTACCCCAGGGATTATCCCTAGATTCCTGCCCAACCCTGGAGATATGGTCCATGCACTAATAATGCACTTAATTACTTTGTACTTTGATGGTAGGGTGAGTGTATTGTGTGAATTTAAAGGGATGGACAATTAAGTACAAGGATTAGTCTTCAAGTGAAATTGATATTAAACAAAAAAGAGACTAGAATTTTTTTTGACAGAAAATATAAAGTATCCGAAATAAGTTGGGTCTTTGCTTCACGGTTTTAAATTTTCATAATTCGAAAACTATTTTTGAACGTATCTTCAAGTGAAGATATTTTATTTAGTTCAAACTTTTTGATTGATTTGTTTTTTTTTTTGTCTCTTCAGAAAGGAAAAATGGAGGTGAGTAAGGAGTTTGAATGCATCGTATTAATCAAGAAACTAAAGGTGAGCTAACATTTATAAAGGGATTGAGGTATTGATCAAAATGGTAAGAAATGAGATCACAACGGTTTTATGAAATTCATTCTGCTAGATTGTGATTTTACTTCGTATAGCCAATTCTTTCACATATTGTAAGCAGAAAGAAAATATCTTGCATTTGATGTATCAGAAGGTAGACTAAACCAGTGAAGCAAAGATTCAACTTTTCTAGATATTTGGTTGATACTGTTTGTTGTAGCTGTGGATGTTCAGTATATAGTGTTAATACTTACCTCCCTTTGACCACTACTAAAACTGGTTTAAGATGTATTCCCATTGACATAACTGTAACTGTTAAAGATTTTACACTTGTTATTGCTAATTATCTTGTACACAGTGGAACCCACTTTTTATTGCTGGCTTAAACAATTTACAAGTACAAAATATTTTGTAGATAATTTTTGGTTCATCTGACCCAAAGCGTCAAGATGACCTATAGCCATTGTGCTTCTTTGCCATCGTGCATTGTGCATAACCTTTTTCTTTAAAACTCTACTCTTTCATACCATGGTGGATTTTATCCAAATTTAGTCTGATGCATCAATGGGTGGTATTCATTTCTTCAATTCAGAATTTTGATTCAATCCCTAAACATCGCGGGGCAGGGCCCCAAATGTGTTGATATTAGCTTTAAAACCCTACTTTTCCTTTCTACCTGGATGTATTTCAACAAGCTTTGGTCTGATTCATAAGTTAGGGTAGGCAATTATTTTTTTAAATTCTGAAATTTGATTCAACCCCCATGGACAATATTTTGCTTAAAAATGTAACTCTCTCTGAATGATTGAATAGATTTCAACCAAATTTGGTATGAAACATTAAAAGTGGTGAATCATTTCTTAGATTCCGAAAGTTGATAAGACTCCTTTAAATGATTGACCTTGATCCAATGGAAAGGTCACAGGCGTCAAATATATCAAAATCTTTGGCCCAAGATGATATTAGGCCTGTAGCATGCTAGAATGTAGGACTGCCAAGCTAGTATATGACATTGACCCACTTTCAAGGTCAGAGGTATCGCAGGTGTTAAAATGTCAAAATGACTTCTTCTGAATGACCAACAGGCCGAGGTTCTTGATATTAGGACTTTAGCTTGCTTTTTCAACAAGTAATACATGCAGATTATTGACATTTATGTAGTGCATGTATAAAGAATATGATTTCAAGTTTGCAGAAAATATCTTGATAAACCAACAATGTCTTTATGAGCTGCAGAGGTGAGAAATTTGTTTTGGGCCAGTTTGGCCTCTTTCATATGTAGGTCTTTATAGTCAGGTGATCGGTAAGGTCTATTGGCATCTTTGAGTTTTAAGAAAGTTTCATTTAGATATAGCCACAACTGTGATGGTCGTAATGAAGTCTACAAACACACACAAAATAATTTTAAATTCTCTGTATTAGAATGCAGAGCATCTTTTTTTATATATATTCTAAGACTTCAATGGAAGCCCTGGTTGAAAGATCAGAACACTCACCAAACTCACCCAAATTAATATAACTAAATGGTTAATATTGTACATAAATCTAATTTATCATTGCACAACAATAAACTGTTCTGCCTGCAGTTTAAATTGGTTCTTACATATAACTAACAGGGAAAATCACGTTTGTGTTCAGATTCTACTGATTACTAAAAGTAAATGTGAATTTGATAAGACATGGCTATTCAGTAACGTTTGATTATGATGGTGGTCTGAAGTTCTTGGGATCAAAATATCTTGTTCAGTTTTTACATTATACAAGTTTTTATATTTTTGTGTGAAAAATAAAATGTAATAAGTGGGTTCCACAGTAATAAAATCTACATATTTCAAAATATGGTTTCAAAGTTATGTCTATAGAAAATTACAGCAAACACACATTGTAAAATCTAATATGTTAGTTGTAACATTGAAAGATTCTGTTGGGAGAAAGTTTTGACCATTTGTGTACCAGGAAGAAGACATGGAAGATGACGATGATGAAGATGAAGAGGATGATGACGATGATGAAGAGGAAGAGGAAGAAAGTGAGGAAGAAAGTAGTCCAGAAAAAGTCAGGTGAGGTGGTCCATCTCTGAATATCACTTTATTTACCATAAGATACAGTAGGTATTTTCTGGTAATCAAGTCTGATATATCATTGCCAGTGTGGTGCAACTGTTTTGATGTTCAATTCTTTTTAATGCATAACTGAATCTCGCTCTTTATCACAATTATTTTTACAAGATATATAGCATGACCATCCTTTAATGACCATAGCTGTAGATGGGATGTTTAAAACCATGAAAACCATATATGAAGCAGTTGAATCTTCATCAACTGTAGCAAATTCACAGCAACATGATAGACAGGAATAAAATAGAATACTTTATATTTCAACATAAGCTAGGGTCTTTTTTTTTTAATAAATGTATGCTTTATTTTTTTTCAGCAAGAAGAAAAAGAAGGCTAAGGTAGGTCGTGATATTTGTTTGACATTTCAAGATTACGACAGTTTTGTATGGAGGTTGCCTCCCTTTATATGTGATACTGATCTGTTTGCTGTGAGCTGCATTGGTTTTAATGTAACTTGCTGAAGCTTGATTTAGAACCCAATAAATAATTATAACCCCCATCTCCCCAACCCCCCAACAAAGTTTGTGGGGAGTTATATTTGAATCACCCTGTCTGACTGTCCGTCTATCTGGAATAATTTGTCATGTGTATCTAAAATAGTGCTGAAGCATTATTTCTTAAACTTTGCATACTACATCCCTATGATATATGGTTGTGCCCATTCACTTTTCATTTAAACTTTATCTTGATCAAATGCTACAGCTTATTATAACCTATAACTTGACATGTCAGGTGTTCCACCACCTTTACCATGGAAACAATTTTGAATCTTCTGATAGATTGAAATTAAGATATTTTCCGATTATTATTATTACTATTAAAATCTTAACGGCCCATCAACACATGAAAAAGGTCATTAGGGCCATCAACTGGTGAATTTTCTGAACAAGTTGAAAATTGGTATATAAAGGTTAAGGGGGATGACCAAAACTGGTAACATATGTAAACCACCTTGTTTGAGGGAAAAGGATTATTGAGGTTTCAAGAATGTTTGAATTGTACAATAACTGTACACTACCAAGTTACTTTGATTGATGGTGACCTTGATCTTGTCATGATACAACTTATAAGAAAGTTCATATGACAGTAAGATGAGTTGAATTTGAAACAATGTCTAATGGACTTCAATTTCTGAAGTTTCTTTTCAGTAGATATATTAAATATGAGCACATCTGTTGTAGGAATATGGCCTATTACAACAGCTTCTGATGTTTTGACAACTTTAAATGACAATGATACCAAATTTGTGGAACTCTTTCATAGATTTTTCTTTTTTGGCTTGACTTTGTGGAATTGGATGGATACAATGCTGAAATGTATAATCTGGTTTTGGTGATCCTTATGGAACAGAACGGTTATTAAAAATGACAAAACTGAATGAATTCTTGGGACATGTAATAAAGGGAATTGCTATTGTATTGCTCTTATTATAAGTAAGTGTATTATCTTCGTCATGTTAAATGAATCTAAAAAATTGAAAAAGTGCCAATATTGAAAATATTCCTGAACCTTTAGAGGGGTGCAGGTCAAAAAATGGAAATTCTAAATTCCATGTTAATAAGTTGCTCCTTCTTAATGCATGAATGGATTTCAACTGAAAAGGAAAATTAGCTAAAAATTTACATTAAAAACTGGGCAAGGTGATTATTTTTGGGAAGGCAATCATTTTAAAAAAAATGTTTTATTTAACCCCCTTGGGATGTGGGGGTGGTGTGAAATTAGCAGGAGTTGAATGTAATTATATCTGAAACATCACAAGGGGAGGGCAGTCTTAAATATAAAAGGTTAACACATAGATAACATCCAAGTGGAATTCAACTAATAGAATTCAACCAAACATGTGATTGGTCTTAAACATCACTGTGTTTGGGCAATTTTTTTCCCCAATCGAATGTTAATTTGACCCTTTAAATCAAGAAGGGGGCCCCAAATAGGAATTTTGGATGGTTCTTTAAATTCTACTTCTCCTCATTCATGCTTTTAACAATGCATGAATTAAGATATTGAGAATGTATTCTGGGTTACGGATAAAAGATAAAGATATTAGCATTATAACCAGATAGCCTTTCATTGGAAGAACAATCCTAAGTGATACAGGCTTATTAGGCCTCTTTTGAGTTTTCATGAACAGCTAACAAACTTCAACAAATTGCCAACAAATTCTTGAACAAAATGATGAAAATACAGTCAAATCTCGTTAACTCCAAGTCAGCATCACCGTGAGAAACTTATGTTTATCAGAGTAATGGGAGAGTTCAAATTAAGCAATTTCAAATGTTTGGCCATAACTGCCGAAATATAGTGAAACCTCACCTAACGATCACCTCAAAATTACGACCACTCCGCTATTACGGGCACTTTTTTCCGTCCCGTTTTTTTTCCACTATATATCTTTGTATTGGTCGCTTCAGTATTACGACCACCCCGCTATTCCATATAACGAACACTTCTTACAGTCCCAAGGACCACTAATTAACGATAATTGACCTTACAATTACGACCAAGTTCTGACCAGTGATTAAAGATTACCTGGTGGGCAGTTAACCACGAACATGTGTGTCGTTCACGACCATTGTTTTCGTCACAGATTACCGACCCTGTCACCAGGTGGCATTACACGAAGTAAACATCATTATCGGATTAACTTGTGTGAAACTGCATGCCAGACACGATTTAATAGCGATCTATTGTTTGCTAATTATATATTGATAGATCGGTAGGTATGCTGTTCAGCACCTTAGAAGCCCTGCATACCCAAAGGTGAATTATGTAGTCTTTTCAGCCGATATTCCCTTGCTCACACGCGCACACGATGTCGAGGGTTTTTAACTGTTTTCGTAGCAATATTACACTCTCGACATCGTTTGAACAATTAAAAAAACATGTATATGTTCCAAATTTTTTACGGCATTTTCACTGTCAAAAACTTTATCAAGCAATGACAAAACCACGTAAACAAAACGAGCTATCGCGATCACTAAAAAGGACTAGTGGAAGAGGACGCTGTACAGATCCGTAGCTCTTTGCAACATTGTGCACTGGACTTTTTTTTTCTTTTTTTTAAGTAAGACAATTTTTTGTACTGAGTGATACACTGACAGTTAATTTTTTTGCGAATTTATGTGAAAAATGAAGTGTTGAAAGACTTTATAGGGACTTCATTAATGTTTTTACAAATACTGAGTAAATGTGTTAATTTATGTGGGAAAATTAACGTTAAATTCCTATTGAACTTAAAATTGATTAATTGTTTTCTTTTATTCAATAGAAATATACATGTATATTATGATATAAACTAAGGAATATATACATGTAAAATTCTTTTGTCAATTCATCAATTTTATCTTTTTTACATGCATTTAATAATTTCAACATTTTATATACAGTTTAGTTATTATGTTGAATAATATACATGTACATTACTTAATGATATATATTGTCTTTATTTCAAGCAGAGTTATGGTTCTTTGCGGTCAGTCTGATTCACCTCACTATTCAGACCACCTCGCTATTAAGACCACTTTTGTCCAGTCCCCAAAGTGGTCTTAATAGTGAGTTTTCACTGTATTTCTAATTAAATGGTGTATTCCAGTTATGCAAGTTTGAGATAACAAGGTTCAACTTGAGGTGAAATTATCAGAGTATAATTCGCTTACAACAATCTGTAGTTTATGGAATTAATATACTATTGGGTTAGTCTGTGGTTTGTGGTTGAGTATGTCCATGGCAGGGTGAGGGTATCGTGTGTTTTTGTGATAATCTGGAGATCCTTATTTGTATAAGAGCTCATCAACACCATGTGCCTAGTATAAAACAATGTTATGGCTTGGGTAAAGCTCAGGTGTCGGTGAGTGCCTAGTAGAACCTGGAGTAGGCTGGAAATGTTTAGTTTTCACCTCTTGAGGGTTTGTTCACATGTTTATGTAAAGATCAAACATTAATTCACTGAACATTCAAGTTGGTACCGACATCGGGGAGGTCTCTGCAGTCTCTGCATTCTGAGGTTTTCAAGAGTGTTCAATGTTTAGTACTTCATAGGAATGTTCATGTGTTGCTCTGTTCTATTGTAAAGGATGTAGGATTGATCTGAATATGGAAATTAGCTGTTCAATAGATCCCCCACTGGTACCATTGCAAAGGACAAGCCACAAGCCTATGGTCCACTGCAAGATTTGCTTTGGTTTACCACAAATGGAGTATATGCAGGCTGTTTGAATTGAGAAGGCTTATTCGTGTGCATGACATTTGGGGTACATGATTTTGTGGATAGCCAAGAACTAATAGGTTGATGTGATAGTATGTGTCGTATACCTACAAATCTTTATGAACTGTATTATATTTTGTAGTGATTGACTAGATTCCAACTTGGAATTCCACACAAAGTATCTCACTGGGATTCCAAAACAAATTTTCAGGGACGCTTAATACTTGAGATTTATTTTATACTTTCCAAAGATAAAAACTTTTAGTAACTTTTAATTGATAATTGATATTGTACATCTGGTCCTTATATATGCCCCTCCCCAAGAATAATTTATTTGGTTGCCATGGTAACCAATTAAGTCAACCTATGATTTGTAGGACTTTATTAAATGTTGGAGCAATTTCAATGAAACCATTCTCAAAATTATTTTTTCATCCATGTTTAGATGTTTATGTGGGTTTCTTTTATTTAGGAATGGGAGAGTGTTTGGATGCATTGGCAACAGGCCATTATATATATATTTGCGTGATGATACGTGTCTCGGGGAAAATTCAAGGTCATACATAAAATGTTGAGGTCACTAGGACTGAAACAATGTATAAACTCTTTGAATCTGCAGGGGGTTTTGGATTGGGGTATTAGCAGAATAACAATTCTAGTTCACATGATAATTCTAACTGTACACAGCTCTTCAGAATTGTAATATCTCACCTGTAAATGTCAAGTATTCAGGGATAAGTTGGAAGTTTCTGAATTAACCAAGCTAGTGGTGTTTTGTTTGGTAGGACTTCTGGTTGACCACCCCGACGTGGCCTTGTTTCCGCCATGCCCAATATTGCTGTCAGATTGGCTCTTCTAAACAAGTTTTAAATCTGGAGATATTGTATGACAAATTTATTGGGCATCATGAATGAATGAAAGTATCTTCTCATTGATATCGACTCACAAATCCTTCCTTCTATATAATCTGCTGTTGACGCAGGTGACCCCCTCTATATATTCAAGGAATTATCTTTTTCCCATACCAGGAAGAGTGGACAAGTCTATGATATAAAGATGTATTGGATAGACCAGGTGTTTAACTAAACCATCTGACAACAGCCAATAAATTAATGCATGGTGAAGTTTGAATTTCATCTGTCCGTTATTTGTGATATATCGGGGCTTTTGACATCTGCTCTTGTAGACAAGTTTGCACTTAATCCTTCGTTTATTTGTTAGTGGTATATCCAGGTAAGTTGACCACAATTTTCATAGTGAGGTTTGCAATTGGTCCATTATTACTTTAGTGATATCTATTGGTACTTTGAGAACTTCACACGTATAGAGGTTGAGATCTATTTTGTTGTTTACTTGTTCGTGTTATATCTGGGTATTTAGCAAGACTTTCATGTAGAGGTTTGCATATATCCAAGTATCCAGTCAGGCTTTAGACTTTTTTTATTTGTTGGTGGTTTTCTAGGTTAATCTGATTAGAAAGTAAACATCTACAGATATTTATATTCAATGTGTTGTTTATTTGACCTTTTTCTTAGGTGTAAAGTGAGACTGTTGTTTTTGAAAGGTCACCCATCGTGTCTGCATGGCTTGTTGACAGAATGAGAGTGTTTCACTTGAAGAGATTTAGAGATCCTCTTTGTGCCTGATGCAGACACTTAATTGTCAACGGACAATAAATGGAGAAAGTTTTAGTCCCCATCATCATGTAGTGATTTTTTTATTGCTATTTTTTTGGAAGATCTTGAATCTTTTTTCTGATTTCAAAAGTTCATCTTGGTTCATAGTCCTGTGGGTTTTTTATTTTTGGACTTTGGTGAGAAAACACAAGCTAACAGGGGTCTTCTTGAATTTTGACTATGAAAGTTTGTTTTTGTAAAGTTCTCCATGACTGTTGCTTAGATCCTATGTAGATTTCCCTCATTTATTAGTGATGCCTTTTTGGTTTTGTGTTTGATCAGTCAATTAAACTGGCTAACCGGGGACCATCTTGAATTTGACAGTTAAAGATTACCGTATTTTCTGAAGTTTAAAATAACCTGTTGCATCCTGAGATCGATAGGTCATTGAGTCAAATTCTAGAAAGACCGCCATGCTTGTTTACGATATGAATGGCTTTGTGTACTATTGGGACTATATGAATTTTGCCAGCATGCAAGGGCCTTCGCTAATATTTAACAGTACAGACATTGAAGGAGATAATGTTAAGTAAAATGTATGCAATGTCGGGGCCCTAAGCTCACAAGCCAAACGAGTTTGATAAATGCTATTTTGCGTTTGAAACAAATCAATAACACAAAAGGATTATCTATGTATTTCATTTGCAAATTAAGTAATTAAATGTTCCACTGATAAGCTTGATAAATTGCCTTCTGTTGTCTGATATCAACATTGTAAGGAAGGGTGTGGCTTATATTCCAGTGCAGCTAATACGGTATGTAGATCAAATTGACAAAAAATTGTTAGAAATTGGCTCTGCAGCTTATATACCAGAGCCAAGATCCCTCAGAGATCTCCTCTCTAATTTATATCTCTGCCACCCTTACAATGGGCTTTATAGTCAACACAACTGGCCCAAAGTGAGATGAATATTTAAGGTTAAGATAATATGATATAACCAAATGTCATGTTTACAACTGAATGAATTTGGTTAAAATGGTTTTATAAATGATTATACAAGTTCCTTATATTATAAAGCTTAATTTCAATAAACAAAGAATCTACTCGTAACCGCAAAGCTACACTGAGTGACCTCCCTTCAAACACTGTTCAGGTGAGGTATACAGATGTGTAAGAGGATAAATCTTTGCACACTTCCCTAATCCCCTATTGTGGGAGAACCGCACACCCCCTCAGTGGGTAGAACTTGTACCTCTTTATGTAGTTCAAGTAGTAATGAAGGAAAATACTGTGATCACTGTTATCTGCAACTTAAAATTAACCGGAGCCTGCAGAAATTCAATGTCTTATAAATATTGAGCATTTAATATACATACATATACAAAGATGATCCAGTGGTTCAGGTGCAGTGTGCATTACATCAGGTGTTACATTAGTACAACCTTTTGGCAGGACTAGTTCAAAGTTATTCTAAAATGCTGGTACATCAGGTACACGTTTACCTGTATCAAATGAAGTATTGAAGTATATCTTACAACTTAAGTTTTTAGCAGTACACAAGACATTTTAAAATATGAAAACACTGATGTTAACATTTCATTGATAAAAATCTAACTTGTTCAGACAAGTTTATTCGAGTGATAAATATGCATATGATTGCCATGTGTAGTGTGAAAGCATGGCCGAGGCCCAGGTTTCATTGATGAATGAGATATCTGGGTCACTGTGGGTACCTTTTATGAATTAAATAGTTTTAACTCCAAGGTGTTTGTCAACGTACCCTGCAAGTCTTGACAACAGACAATTTATTTTTCCCGTTAACACCATGTATTTATCTTCAGGAGCCTTGCCGGTACAATTGTAGGTAGTGTTGCCTGCACCACTGCATGGGCTTTATAACTATTTCACTTGTTAGTTGGCATAACTTTCTATTATATTTCGTAGCAACTCAATTGGTTACCAAGATATTGGTTAGTTTTGCTGTCGAATTATGTACATGTATATCATTTTAAGCTTGTCAATTCAAAGAATATATAAGGGGGCAAATGTCGCTGTGGCGTCAGTGGTGTCCCACCTTATGTTTTTTCTAGCTGAATATTGGATCATCCCTCCTGCAGAGGTGGTGATTGTTATATAATTCCAAGTATTGATAGGAATTATCAATATGCTGAACCATGTTTTACATAATCAAGGGGCCAAAAAGGGGTTTCTGTGTGTGAATTGTTTTTGCGAATCTTTCATGAAAAGATTCAAATCACCTTATATCCATGGTCTGTTGTCAGTTATTTTTTACCTGATGGCTATTTTGTGGTAATACCTGAAGGCTATTTTGTGGTAATACCTGAAGGCTATTTTGTGGTAATACCTGATGGCTATTTTGTGGTAATACCTGAAGGCTATTTTGTGGTAATACCTGATGGCTATTTTGTGGTAATACCTGATGGCTATTTTGTGGTAATACCTGAAGGCTATTTTGTGGTAATACCTGATGGCTATTTTGTGGTAATACCTGAAGGCTATTTTGTGGTAATACCTGATGGCTATTTTGTGGTAATACCTGAAGGCTATTTTGTGGTAATACATGATGGCTATTTTGTGGTATGTATGTTTCCCAAGTGTGTCGCTAGTTATGCCAATTTGATTTTTGGACTGATCAGAGAAACAATGGCTGACGGAGAGCAATCTATGATTTGACAGTCAACAGGGTAGACAAGAAAAGGGAAAAGACCCAACTTTTAAAGAACAAATTTATATCAAACAATGTTGGGCACCAAGATCCGTCTGGGATCTCGTTTCAAGCTGTACTCGGTTGCATATGGATCAGATTTTGAAGTTGCAGTAATTTTCATTACAAGTGTGTACTTTTGATTATCAGTTGGTATTCACATGAAATATGGCTTCAACAGCATCTGTCAACGCCATATTAAAGTTAAACTGAAAATATTTGTGTGCATGAAAGATATAGCCTTCAGTGATCTGGATATGTATTAGACTGAAGTTTACAGCTTACTTTCATAGTGTAGAAATCAGTTTCTTAAAAAACTAAAAAAGAATGACTTTAGGGTTAAGAATTAAAGTGAATAGCTAGGACTCCAGGATACAGTGTATGGGTTTGTGAGACGACCTCTCATTTATCAGCCATCTGGACACCTGCAGATTTGAAGTTAGATTTGTGATCAGTCTTGTTGTGGACACATCCAATCGGATGTAGGTAAATCATGTCGGATCCCCATTACATTATTGCAAGTCATACTAGTTCTCTTGGGTGCATTCAGAAATGACCTCATTGTAAGTTGTTGGATTTGTACACAAACATGAAATTCACATCAAAGATATTTTATTTGATATGTATTAAACTAGCATTATTTACAAATCATAAAATATGTCTGTTCAAATTGCAGGTGGACTACTTATGATATGAATCTCAAAATGGTCTGAAATATTTAGCAGTAGTAATTTTTTCACAAACAGGTAAAAGCTTGAACGGTATTACAGCTTGAGAAGCATCTTACTACCAAAGTTTTCTGGGGTATTATTAAATACCAGTTTTGACAAGGAACTTGTGAAAGAATACTGTGGTCATAATAGAGTATAATAGATACTTGAAGTTGATTTTCTGTTGTCAATTTTGGTGTCACCATCAAAATTAAGTTGCATTTAGCCAACTCGCGAGGAAAATTTGAAATCCTACTCCTGTAGGATTGTGCCAAAATTTGGTCAGCATCATTTTTTGGTGAAGGAGAATCAATTTTGTATAAACGATGTGTCTTGGCCCCCACTGGACTGGAATGACAGGGCTAAATTGGTAAATTCTTTCAAATCTTCGGTTTGTAGAAATATCTTGTTAGTTGAAAGAGGAAAATCTCTAAAATCCTTTTGTGGAAATGCCTTAGTTTTGTCTCGATTTGGTCTGAAGCATACCTAGTTGAAAGGAGTCTGACATGAGAGATTTGGGGCCCAATAGAGGAAAACTAAATTCTTTAAAATCTTCCTTCCATACAAGGATGTTGTTAAAGTTTGGTCCAAACAATTTTTATGAATGGTGAATCAGATTTCTGTTTGACTACTTGATCGGAGCCCAGTAGGGAAATTATTTCAGAAATTCTTTGTCATATATGAAATTCTTTGTCAAATGCAGCAAGGTGAGCTGTGCAAGCCCTTTGTGCCTCTTGTTGGTATTGAATGACCTCAACCAACAGGTTATCAACAGAGTTTTGACCATAAAAGTAAGGGCAGCAAAATTAAAACCTTTTATTATTCCAAATTCTTTCATTAAAAATGGAATTTCTAATGCTATTCCTATAAATATGCTTATAAAGTATGGTAGTCATTCCTTTAGTGTTGAATCATGTTGTGTAACAATGGTAATGCAACTGGTTTCGGGATAAATTTTTTCTGCGGACACCATTTATGTAAATTCTTCACTTTAATTACATTTTTTTTCTTTTGCAGGAGACAACTAAGGCTAGTTCACGCAAAGGAAAGGTGACCAAGGTATGCTAAACAATGTCATGGTGATAGACACTTTTACTACTGGCTGTGTAACTCTTGTCACACAATGTCATGGTGATAGACACTTTTACTACTGGCTGTGTAACTCTGTCACACAATGTCATGGTGATAGACACTTTTACTACTGGCTGTGCAACACTGTCACACAATATCATGGTGATAGACACTTTTACTACTGGCTGTGCAACACTGTCACACAATGTCATGGTGATAGACACTTTTACTACTGGCTGTGTAACTCTGTCACACAATGTCATGGTGATAGACACTTTTACTACTGGCTGTGTAACTCTGTCACACAATGTCATGGTGATAGACACTTTTACTACTGGCTGTGTAACTCTGTCACACAATGTCATGGTGATAGACACTTTTACTACTGGCTGTGCAACACTGTCACACAATGTCATGGTGATAGACACTTTTACTACTGGCTGTGTAACTCTGTCACACAATGTCATGGTGATAGACACTTACTACTGGCTGTGCAACACTGTCACACAATGTCATGGTGATAGACACTTTTACTACTGGCTGTGTAACTCTGTCACACAATGTCATGGTGATAGACACTTACTACTGACTGTGCAACACTGTCACACAATGTCATTGTGATAGACAATTACTACTGGCTGTGCAAAATGTCATGGTGGTACACTTTACTACTGGCTGTGTAACTCTGTCACACAATGTCATGGTGATAGACACTTTTACTACTGGCTGTGCAACACTGTCACACAATGTCATGGTGATAGACAATTACTACTGGCTGTGTAACTCTGCCACACAATGTCATGGTGATAGACACTTTTACTACTGGCTGTGCAACACTGTCACACAATGTCATCGTGATACACTTTTACTACTGGCTGTGTAACTCTGTCACACAATGTCATGGTGGTACACTTTTACTACTGGCTGTGTAACTCTGTCACTCAATGTCATCGTGATACACTTTTACTACTGGCTGTGTAACTCTGTCACACAATGTCATGGTGGTACACTTTTACTACTGGCTGTGTAACTCTGTCACACAATGTCATGGTGATAGACACTTACTACTGGCTGTGTGACTCTGTCACACAATATCATGGTGATAGAGACTTACTACTGGCTGTGCAACACTGTCACACAATGTCATGGTGATAGACACTTACTACTGGCTGTGTGACTCTGTCACACAATGTCATGGTGGTAGACACTTACTACTGACTGTGCAACACTGTCACACAATGTCAGGGTGATAGACACTTACTACTGGCTGTGTAACTGTCACACAAGGAATCCCTCTTGCTAGAGTCAGGGTAACACTGGTATGCCTAATGAACATGCCTAAAGAAAAGTGAATGCTATCAAATTAAAAGCAGAAGGGATTTTAATGCCTTTGAATTTGCTACTATAGTAGAGTATAGATATTTTGTGAAATGCTTGTCTGTCCATGTAGTTTCTCTTGCAACTTCCATTGTCCTTTAATTGCCAGAGATTTAGGTCATAATCAGGGGGTTAAGCACTGCATATGTTTGTTCAACTTGTCAACATATCTGTTTTAAAAACACATCTTATCTGATGATATTTGTTCAGAATACTGAACATGGCTAACACCTGTTGTGGAATTGTTGTTTATCAATAATATTGCACGATTATCGAACGGCCATTGTGAATTACCTCCATTAGTATAGTACGATACAGTCCTTGTTAACACGATTTCCACTTCAAGATAGTTTTACGATTTGGCCTCCACTAGCAGAGCTATGGATGTGTGTGAAGTTATCTTAGTTTATCGACTACTCTGTGTCAAACTTATTGACTTTAAGTACATTGTGCTTTTCAGAATTGTTGACATTTTATATACACTACACATGTAGGATTAATTTATGATGAACAGCTGGGTGTCTGTGAAGGGAGGGGGGATTTAATGTCGTGTTAATTTTACACCTTTATATTTGTATCATATATTTCATTTTGACAAGCATGTTCTCTGATGAAAAAGTCTTAAGTTCTTGCTACTGATTTCGGTATAGCTTTTAGTCTTTTGGTCAATATGGAACCTGGGTTTTCCCCAAAATCTGCCATTAATTAAATTTTATCTGATCCTTCAGAGCAGACAATATCTATAAACCATTTTTTATGCTCTGTAAAAATTTTGCCTTTTTTTGCCAAAGAATTCTTGCCCTTTGTTAAAGTTGTCAGGAGCATCACGGTAAATTGTTTGCAATAGGATAAAGAAAGTTGTATGCTATACTATAAAGTTATACTATGAGGATTTGCAGAGTACAAATGTTAGGTAACGCAACCTCTTAATTAGAGTTATTAATCAGGTCTGGACTGTCCTAGGCTGTGAAGTGGACATGTACATCTTCAGGTCCAGACTGTCCTAGGCTGTGAAGTGGACATGTACATCTTCAGGTCCAGACTGTCCTAGGCTGTGAAGTGGACATGTACATCTTCAGGTCCGGACTGTCCTAGGCTGTGAAGTGGACATGTACATCTTCAGGTCCAGACTGTCCTAGGCTGTGAAGTGGACATGTACATCTTCAGGTCCAGACTGTCCTAGGCTGTGAAGTGGACATGTACATCTTCAGGTCCGGACTGTCCTAGGCTGTGAAGTGGACATGTACATCTTCAGGTCCGGACTGTCCTAGGCTGTGAAGTGGACATGTACATCTTCAGGTCCGGACTGTCCTAGGCTGTAAAAGTGGACATGTACATCTTCAGGTCCTGACTGTCCTAGGCTGTAAAGTGGACATGTACATCTTCAGGTCCTGACTGTCCTAGACTGTAAAAGTGTAGACATGCTTCTTCAGGTCCTGACTGTCCTAGGCTATAAAAGTGTAGATGTACATCTTCAGGTCCTGACTGTCCTAGGCTGTACAAGTGTAGACGTACATCTTCAGGTCCTGACTGTCCTAAGCTGTACAAGTGTAGACGTACATCTTCAGGTCCTGACTGTCCTAGGCTGTACAAGTGTAGACGTACATCTTCAGGTCCTGACTGTCTTAGGCTGTACAAGTGTTGAGTATATCTTCAGGTCCTGACTGTCCTAGGCTGTACAAGTGTAGACGTACATCTTCAGGTCCTGACTGTCCTAGGCTGTACAAGTGTAGACGTACATCTTCAGGTCCTGACTGTCCTAGGTTGTCGAGTGTAGACGTACATCTTCAGGTCCTGACTGTCCTAGGCTGTACAAGTGTAGACGTACATCTTCAGGTCCTGACTGTCTTAGGCTGTACAAGTGTTGAGTATATCTTCAGGTCCTGACTGTCCTAGGCTGTACAAGTGTAGACGTACATCTTCAGGTCCTGACTGTCCTAGGCTGTACAAGTGTAGACGTACATCTTCAGGTCCTGACTGTCCTAGGTTGTCGAGTGTAGACGTACATCTTCAGGTCCTGACTGTCCTACCCTGTACAAGTGTAGACGTACATCTTCAGGTCCTGACTGTCCTAGGCTGTACGAGTGTAGACGTACATCTTTAGGTCCTGACTGTCCTAGGCTGTACAAGTGTAGACGTACATCTTCAGGTCCTGACTGTCCTAGGTTGTCGAGTGGAGATGTACATCATCATTCAGCAGTTATAACAACAAACACTTCATGATGTGATTAGTCATGCAGGTGTAAAATTATTCAAGCAATGTATGTAAATGCAATGATTTAGTGATGTATATCATGGAGTTTAGTGTCCTATTTATCTCTGAACAAGGTTTACTTAAAAATCAACATCCACTCTCAGTCTGTTTATCATGAATATGGGTATGTGGAATTGAAGGAGGCAGAGGGTGTTCATTCATTATCATGCTCATTTTGATCGATTAGAAATTCAAAATATTTGATGATTCAAAATTTCACTTAAGGGTGAAGTATTTTTAATGGTATTGGATTACTTTTATCATTAAATAATCAGTCTGGATAATGGGCTTTAAAAACACTTTTATACTGTATACAGGCATTGAATTTTTTTTCACCTCGATTCAGTGATGTCAAAACCACAATCCTTTGCCCTTTGAAATTTAAGTTTGCAGGGTTTTTTTGTTCCCCATATGGGGAAAAAGGTTGAAATTTACCATAAAAATATTGGCACTTGACTGATGAAGTTGGTAAGTTCTCTGTGTATCAGGGAATGGGGAATTAAATCCTAGGAGGATTTGTGGAAAAAAGAAATGGTCAACTTTTGGTCTGAAAGTCTGCAACCAAACTAAAAAATGAAATTGAATATATAGATGGTAAGAATTCTTTGGTCTGTACCACAACATTGACACTCCTACCTTTAACATCTGTCGCCTCACTATTTCATGGTTAGGAGTGTTCTAGTCTTTATACTTACATTTGTCCGTCATTCCTTCAAAATTTAGTTTCCACTCATTTCTGTAAAGAATAGGATACAGAACTGTTGGTATGTAGTGTGTAATAATCTGCAGATCAGGTTCAAATTTTCGGTCAGTTTATCTTTTCCAGAGAATTTCCATAAAAAGGGTAAGACCACCGTTGGGAGCCTTGTACAGTTTGGTGGGTTTATAAAAAGGAGGAGCACGAATTAACAGGCTGATTTTCAATTTCGTTTTAGTCTTTATCATTGATCCTGCAGATTGAATTTCAATGTTGTTTTCGTGAATCATCATACAAATCCTGAGAGTCCATTACGGCACAAAAAATTACGAAGGACTTGTTTACTAGCAGAGTATTCACATTGCTCATCTACATGTAAGTCTTCGTTATGAAGTCCTGAATTCCATTGCTTATTATTTTTGTACCGAATGAACTTACTATATAATGGTTTATTTCATTATCCCAACTTGATAAGGAAATAATGCTAGATTGCGTCTTATTGTATTGGAATATTTTTAAATTGATGAAATTCATTCTTGTATTTTTTAAAGATAATTGTAAAAATGAATAGGTGTAAATTATTACTGAAAAGGCAATGTGTAAGTGCTGATATTTTTATGCACTTTTGAAATGCCATTAAAAAGTCCATTTCAGTGACAAGTTTTTTGGTATAAATAGATATTAAAATCTAAAATTAATAAAAGGAGGGAAATATTCCACGGTGGAGATTTTATGTTGTGCTTAATACCATTAATGCATATTTTATACCAAAATGTCAAATATTTCACATAAAATAAACATTAAAAATTTCATGAAGTTATGTACAAAAATATTCAATGTGTTGTTTACGACCTAAGTTCATAATCCAGTGTTAAAATGCAGTATATAGAAGGTACCCGATATCAGAACATTGGCAGGTGTTGCTAATGATAGCATATTAATGTCCCGTCTACCAATAATCACTTAAGAATTACATGATAACGGTAATATACACTTCGTCATAAAACATTTTTCAAGATCAACAGGTCGATAACGCACAATAGATGGAAAGTTGTAAACATGATCATGTACCCGTAATGTGTAGTATTTGAGAGCCAAATGATTGAGTCATACCCTAGGTATATAGTGTAGGAGGTGAACCATGCACTCATAGGCAGAACATTTTTTCGGTGATTGATGTGAAGAAAATAGTTATAGTCTAGTACACTACTTAATGTTGTGTACACTGATAATTGAAATAATGATTTATTGTGGAGAAGGAAAAAACAAAGTGAATTAAATGTGTTTAGTACAGAATTTATGGGAAAATATTACTGTGAAAGGTTGTAACTAAAATAAAATACCTCAGACTATTGTTAAAACAAACTGTTTTGAAATGGAACCCAGTTGATTGTCATTCTGTAACACTCCAATTTGACCTGAAACCATAATTCACAGAATCGCTTTCTAGTCAAGTGTTTTTGGTACACAGTCAACTCTTGATGTACTTGTGCACTTTTTACTTGTAAAGGTTATGTTTGAACTTGAATATACATGGTGTTGCACTTTTACTAATTCTTTTACTAATTTGCAAAGTGTTTTGAATGATATCAATAAATCTTCAATTTGCATACACCCTGGGAAGTGAAAAATCCTTTAATGGTGTGATTGAAAAAAGATTGAAAATCAATCACCACGATTATTAATAAAACTTGATAACTATTTACCCTCCAAGTGATACTTTGATTTGTACAATACAAACAAGTAGAGCACATTTCATAAATCTGTTGCTAATTTTAGGGTCAAGGACAATATATTCCCTTCGGTGCTTGATTCCAAATAAATCATGTTTTGTAACTCTTGTGAAGAAGACTAGCTAGTGTTTAGTTTACTTTAATGGCTGGGTCATTTTTATGCAAAGTCACACAGATAATAAATGACTGTCCTTCACATTGTTATGTAAAGAAAACTGATAAAGATATCAAAAATGAGAGTGCCATATAGTTATAGGTTGTCTGTTCTGTTGTGTCCAACCAAATTTGTGATGATTGTTTCCCAGGTTCAAAGGTTAAGGTCACTAACTATAAATAACCAGTTTTTGCATAGTACCTTCAGTTCTGTTTGGCTGATTACTAGCGATGGATATTGGCAACTGAAACCATCATCCAGTATATTGGAATATTTTGATATTGTGGTTTTTTATGGGTCAGTTTTGTTTAAGTCCGACAAAATTTGAGAAAGTGACCTTGACCTTTATTAAAGGTCACAGAGGTCAGATTTGTTCATACCTATGAATGTCTTCTGATCAACCAAAATAAACCTACAAAGCCCGACAAAATTCGCAAAAAGATCTGGGGATGAATGTCTATAATTTGATATTGTGAAACACATTGAATACAGGTAAGTGATTCATGGCCATTAGGATCTTATGTACTGTATGGTTGATAATTTACTTTTTCAGGCTTCCCCTGTCAGAGGAAAGACCAAGAAATCCAGGAAGGCTTAAATTGTTTCCGACATCGAGGACGTGCTGGATTTCACCGATAATGTTGACAAGTGTCCGTAAACATCTAGTGTGGTATAAGAATTTGTCTGTGCGATACCCTGACAGGAGTGCTTAAATTGTGCTTACTGATTACACGTGTAGAAAACGCGAGGAAACTTAAACGCATTTCATTAAAGATTTAAACCAATTTTATTTTGTTTATTATTTTTGATATGAATGGTCTTGAAAGTTGGGAAGTGTATATAATCAATCCCTAACCCCCATCCAGACCCACGATATCACACATGCCACCACCACACTCAGAAACGCACTCACTCACACACACTCGTACACTCTCACTTCCAAATATGAGTTGTTGAAATTTAAGTTGATTTAATTTTTCAGAAACTTGAGCACCCAGTCTAGCGTTTCATATGAAGTCGAGAGTTAATGTTGACTGTACAGGAAGGGTGTCGGAATTTACAGGCGAGCTAAGATGGATGATATTGGGTGGAATTGTGGGCAAGTAAAAAAGGACGAATGCTAGAATGGGCAAGTGTACAGGGACGGAATGAAAAGCAATATGGGAGAGTGTATATGGAGTCGGAAGTAACTTTAATATTAAGGTGAACTAGAGTAATGAGCAATTTTCCTGGGGATTACTGGGGGAAAATGGTGTAAGAGTTGTTTCCCCTTCATAGTTAAAACTCCCGATTGCTAGCAGGCGTGCAGTGTATATGTCCGATTTGAAATGTGATTAAAAGAATTGTACGTCACTGAATATTAAATTATGATGGTGAACGGAAGCACAAGGAACAATTCTTGTTGAGTTTCATGAAATCGCTACATAGAGAGCATTTACGTAGGACTTAAACGTTCTCGTATTGTCAACGCACTATACATTTGTACAAATGATTTAGATAACGAGTGCCCCGATACTCGCCAAATATCAAAGCATGAAGCCATGTCCTGTAAACGCAAGATTTATTTTTACGTGATAAAATTTAAAAAAAAAACATTCAAAACTGAATATGCATTGATTTTACTAGTGTTGACGTAAACGCTGCCAGACAACGGATCCAACAGATCCAATGCTTTCATAATTCTGTTGGTCAACAAGTGATATAAAAAAAAAGTGTAAGAAATTAAGAAAATAAAAGCTCTTGCAGCGTAGCGATCATATCGCACTCCAGTCACTGACAGTCTGATTGGCCCTCCTCCGTTTTCAGGTTGTATCAAACCCGAATTCCAAAAATTGAGAAAATTTGTTTCTGATGATTTTGTTTGAAATGTAAGATGGCGGAAAGAAAGATAAAACGGTAATTTTCACTGCTATAGGTCTCAAAATTTGTAATATGGACTATCGGCATTTCCGTATTTTTAAAGGCGACCCTGCATCCAGCTAAATTCATTGATTCAATCGAATGATGCAAAATGTGTTGACAGTATTCTCACAAAATTTGATTTCAAAGTCGCAAAACTCCATAGCAACAGAGGATTGTAAAGGTGCTAGAATCTTTATGACAGTTGATCTAATATTTCACTTTTACAAGACTCAGTGCTTTGATTGAAACTTGTTTGGGAAGATTTTTCATTGTAAAATAATTTTAAAAAAGAGTTTCTGAGCTTACTTTGGTAATTTTCACACCTTGTTGTTTTCAGCGGACAAGTTAGCAATGGAAAAACGTTGAAATTGTTGACGTTTAAAAACCGATTCACGTCCTCAACTGCACTGTCATAAGATGTAGTCCACGGCGTAGAGAATCTACAGAACGTAATACGTAGTCGACGCTCCAATACTGGTAACAAAATAGAAATTCAGTCTGACGTCACCATGAAACTTTTATTGAACTATGCTCTACTTCCGATCAGACATGCTCGATTTCGCAAGAATTAACATAATAACGTTGTTACCCATTTGAATTTTTAATCGGCTCAATAAAACTGATCGAAGAGGGAATCGGGTGTCCACTATTGTCCGATCTGTATTTCATCTTTGTTTGCTCTTAATTTTGTTAAGGTGAATAAATCATTTGAAAATATTTATATATGAGAATAGTTAATAAAAGAAATAGCAACAAATTTCAGTTGTTAAAAGCCAAAACGGCTACCTGTCGGTCATAACTTTGCGATCAACTCCGAAATGAAGAATAAAAATTAAGGGAAACATCCAAATAGCGGTAACTTAACATAATCCAACATGGTCACCTGTCAGCCATTTTGATTGTCTGATCAGCTCCTAAGTGGACAAAGCACAACATCGGAATTGCCCATCAGATATTTCTGTCGATTTAGTTACAACAGTAAATGACGGACGAAGATCGATCAGAATTGTAATTTGTCCTGATCACCAGAAATGTTTGTTTAGAGTAAGTTCCTATCAAGTTTTATGAAAATAGCTGCATGCGTTAAGGTGTTATTCGGGTATATCTTCTTAAAATTGTTTTGAGATATGAAATTAAAAAAGAAAAAACTATTCACTACAGATAACAAAAAGCATACGGCTCTGCATGAATCTGCGAAGATGCACAAGAGAATATTGCAAACATGTTTTATTTCTAAAAACTTAGGCAATCCTGGGTTGTGTAATGAAACTGATAGGCACTATTCATACGTATACAATAAAATGCATGCTTTATAATCTAAGCGCGCCTTTGTCTCCGTTATCCGTGTCATCAACATATCTCAATCATCCAGCTTTTATCAGCAGCTAATTCTGACAGGTTCGATAATATAACTTTAAGTGTTATCTGTACAATGTCTAATATCGCCATACTACCCCACAGGGTTCTTGTCTGTGTCAACACCACTATCGATATCTCTGGTCAAATTAGCGCCGATAATAACCAATATTCTTATCAACTTATGTACCGTTTCACTTCGTTTTTGCTCTAGGAATGTTAGTAATGTCAAGAATGCGTTACGGCACCTACAAGGTACATCTAGGTCAATGTTTACATGACCTATACTAGGTACCTATCTATAATTAACAGGTTAACAACTCTCTGATCATGTCGTAACGTTATCAGTTATAATGCATAATGTTGGATTATTCAGAGACCATATCGTTTCAGTTGATTGTATTCGTTAACCATAGCTTGTTTAATTCTGGACAAATTAGGATGTAGTGACAGATATTTGTTCATCATGAAACTTTATTGAAGGGACAATTTGATAAATAATTTGGTATATGCGTTGCTTCAGTGATCGGTTACAACGATTAAGTACAAATATGGAGTCTAGCAGATCTCATCTCGCTTTGATAAACAAAACCGATATATCTCGAATTCTCCCTCCAGAAATACAAAGTGACACCCATCCAACATGTCATCTTTGTTTCCTGAAGTCAATCTTTCCACGGGTATCCTGTAAATTAGGTCTGAAACCACAAATGTCACATGTCTGCGTGTGCATGTACCCTCTAATGTCGCAGTTAAGTAATGATATATCCCCGTGTCTGTATCTGTATGTCGAGTATCTGTATCCTGTAATATCACGTGTCTGTATCTTGTGATGTCTAGTATCTGTATCCTGTAATATCACGTGTCTGTATCTTGTGATGTCGAATATCTTTATCCTGTAATATCACGTGTCTTTATCTTGTGATGTCTTGTGATCTTGTGATGTCTAGTATCTGTATCCTGTAATATCACGTGTCTGTGATGTCGAATATCTTTATCCTGTAATATCACGTGTCTGTATCTTGTGATGTCGAGTATCTGTGTCCTGTAATATCACGTGTCTGTATCTTGTGATGTCGAGTATCTGTGTCCTGTAATATCACGTGTCTGTATCTGGTGGTGTCGAGTATCTGTATCCTGTAATATCACGTGTCTGTATCTTGTGATGTCGAGTATCTGTATCCTGTAATATCACGTGTCTGTATCTGGTGATGTCGAGTATCTGTATCCTGTAATATCACGTGTCTGTATCTTGTGATGTCGAGTATCTGTATCCTGTAATATCACGTGTCTGTATCTTGTGATGTCGAATATCTTTATCCTGTAATATCACGTGTCTTTATCTTGTGATGTCGAGTATCTGTATCCTGTAATATCACGTGTCTGTATCTTGTGATGTCGAGTATCTGTGTCCTGTAATATCACGTGTCTGTATCTTGTGATGTCGAGTATCTGTGTCCTGTAATATCACGTGTCTGTATCTGGTGGTGTCGAGTATCTGTAATATCACGTGTCTGTATCTTGTGATGTCGAGTATCTGTTTCCTGTAATAGTATCTGTATCCTGTAATATCACGTGTCTGTATCTTGTGATGTCTAGTATCTGTATCCTGTAATATCACGTGTCTGTATCTTGTGATGTCGAATATCTTTATCCTGTAATATCACGTGTCTTTATCTTGTGATGTCGAGTATCTGTATCCTGTAATATCACGTGTCTGTATCTTGTCATGTCTAGTATCTGTATCCTGTAATATCACGTGTCTGTATCTTGTGATGTCGAATATCTTTATCCTGTAATATCACGTGTCTTTATCTTGTGATGTCTATCTGTATCCTGTAATATCACGTGTGTATCTTGTGTGTCGAGTATCTGTGTCCTGTAATATCACGTGTCTGTATCTTGTGATGTCGAGTATCTGTGTCCTGTAATATCACGTGTCTGTATCTGGTGGTGTCGAGTATCTGTATCCTGTAATATCACGTGTCTGTATCTTGTGATGTCGAGTATCTGTATCCTGTAATATCACGTGTCTTTATCTTGTGATGTCGAGTATCTGTATCCTGTAATATCACGTGTCTGTATCTTGTGATGTCTAGTATCTGTATCCTGTAATATCACGTGTCTGTATCTTGTGATGTCTAGTATCTTTATCCTGTAATATCACGTGTCTGTATCTTGTGATGTCGAGTATCTGTATCCTGTAATATCACGTGTCTGTATCTTGTGATGTCGAGTATCTGTGTCCTGTAATATCACGTGTCTGTATCTTGTGATGTCGAGTATCTGTGTCCTGTAATATCACGTGTCTGTATCTTGTGATGTCGAGTATCTGTATCCTGTAATATCACGTGTCTTTATCTTGTGATGTCGAGTATCTGTATCCTGTAATATCACGTGTCTG